CGCATACGTTTACCTAAAACCGTTATACTCTCTGGTTCCATAAGCCCGTATTCTCTTTTCCCGAGAAAGCAGAATATCATATGAAAGACAAATTGTTGCGATTTTCCACTGTACGCGGCACAATTGAGGGGATGGTTTTTATAGGTGAATACGAGCGAAGAAAATCCACTAGTTTCCTTCAATGCATGTAGGTAGTATATTTTCTATAGTATATTTTTATATAGTATGTGCGTATATATAGAGTACAGACAAACGAGCTACATGCCTTATGTCTTCGGCTAGGCTCTTCCTATGTATTTTAGGAAATATACATGCCTTGCGTCACGCATGAGTATATGCTATACAGGTCGTTTTAAACCATTCGTTTATGGTGGATAAGAAAACTCATACCGAGTCGACTAGTTTTATGTCGAATATTCGACACGAACACGTGACCCTTGACACCTGAACAAGACTTGCTATTGCCAGTATCTCTATAGGATATAGAAATTACATTGTACTGATGAGAATGTACTGTGTCTGCTTTTAGTAGCTATTATGGATCGGAATTGGTCATTAACGCGACGTAAAAAGAGGATTGATGCGTTGTTCTAACGGGAAGACAGGCGTGAGCTCTGAGAATTACTTTATTGTGTCAGTCGGATATTTGATTTTAAAGAAATTTACGGGTCTTCGTCATTGTACTCGGTAGAGTAGAAATTTAAGTATTTTTTTTTTTATCAAGGTACCAATTCCATTTTCCCAATGAGAACACGGGATATATTTGAAAATTGGAAAATTTTTCTTTATTAAAATTTATTGCCATCTGCTCCGTTGCTGATTTTATTGAGAATGCTGAATTTTCAGAAATAGTGTCTTATGTCTATTTTACATTTATAACTTTAACAAATAGGTACTTTTTTATATCTGTCAATGATAGAAATACACACGTGTAAAACGATAAATATTATGTCTCATAATTTTTGGAAATTGATTTCGCACTGATATGGCAGTTCATCATTTTTCGCGTTTCCTTCAATCGCAAGAGTATTGCATGAAATTTTCTTTTTGATAAAAGAAAGTCAATTCACCAATGCCTGCATTCGCGGACTCGACGTTCTGGACGTTTTCAAAGAAATTTCTGATAACCTCCTTACAAGCAGACACGTCAGAAGTATCGGGAAGTCGTGACGGCTCTGGGAAACCGGTACCGCACACAATTTCAATGTCGCCCGAAGAATTGCAATGTCTGTCCAAGAAAATAAAGCGTCACGCGATTTCTTGTATAAGCCGAGACACGTCGATTATCGATTATATTTATACTGTGTCATTCGCGAGACTTCCCGGTCGCCACGTCAAAAGCCATTACAGCCGTATCGAGTACCTAAGCTATGTATGTATAGGATATGCATTATTTGCTTTTGTAAAATAAAAATTGTGATCCTGCCTTAATTCGGGAGCTTTCGTTTTGCAAATTTTTTAATTCACAAAAATGATAATACACAGGACGCTCTTTATTATATCAGTAAAGACATTATCGCCTGATGTCAATATTGTAAATACGTAAATCGCGTTTAATTACAAGGATAAATATTCGAAACTCTAAACAGCCGCGAAAAGACATTAATTTCTGAAAATAATATCAAACCATGATACGATCGATTCAGCATAGTAATCAGTGATTACTAATCACACACCGACTTTACGTATCCGCGATTATAACGGAAAGTAGATATCGTGAATTAATAACTGCGACATGCATGTACTACAGTGCATTAAGCATAACTCTATTCGTTTCGATTTTCATCTTATTACCATATTTTCCGTTTGGCCAAGCCCTATTAATCATGCTTTCCCGACTGTCCATAAAAACTGGTCCATCCATACGAGAAGCAGAGAAACATGAAAACTCGACATTGCCTGGGAAAATATAATATTATTATTCATATGAAAAAAAAAGATCACTGACCTAGTTACCTAACAACGAAGAGTCCTCCACATTGTAATTTCGCTGTAAGAAAAAAAAAAAGCCGAAAATACACACAGCGTACCGTATTAATTTTATAATTAAAGAAACAAGAGTTCCTACCGTTTTTAGTTTCTCGCAGCATCCGTTAAACTTGATCTGTCCCGCCGGTTCGTTTCTTTTGATAAACAAGCACATATTTAACCACGTGACATTCTACATCGTTTCTATAGCTGACGATATCATTGATTTACTTGTTACTTGCTCGGTGTCCGGTTTACTGCACTGTAATAGGTAAAGCGGGTCTGCTTCGACGTAACACAGTCATTATTACGCCGTACCGAGAAAAAGTACGACAGATGCAACGTCTCCGGGGACCATTAAAGTTCTCCGTGTCGTTAAGAACGAATTAGAAGGAATTCCTCGTTTTTCCTCGTTTTTCCTGTCTTCTCGTAAAGTTTCACAGTGTGGACGTCGGCGCTATCCAATTCCGGTAGATCATCCGTCTGCTCCTTCCGGGATAATGTTTACCCTTTATGGGGTTTCTTCCGAGACAATACAGTCTTAACCATTTTATTGACTATAGTAGACAGCTTATGCACGGCAGGAAGTCTCGAGTTAGGTAATCCGCTGTGCGATTACCGCATATCGTTGCCACGTTAAAAAGTTTTCTTCGGAGAATCGTCTAAAACGTTTTCAAAGCCAACTACAATAATCGTACAAAGATCGTATTACGTTACCAAGTAATGAATTATATATTTTTTATAGCTTTTATAAAAATAATAAAAATATAGGTAATCAGGCAGAATATTACGTGACAGTTATAGACGCGACGTCCCATTTGATTACCACGGTAAAAGCGTCTTCCGCTGGTACGTTCGCACGGAATAATTTTGTCTGTATATAAATCTATAGAATATATATGACAAAGTAGACGTACATACGGGTGGAACGGTCTGGAGTGAAAGGTCGAAATGAATTAAGAGACTTTTTAATGGCGCGTCTAGCTCCGAACGGTAACTCTGCAAGTTTACGGATTACGAAGACGGTACGTATAGGAGTTTGTGTATCTATGGGTAACGAGCTTCCTCTCTTGCTGTGCTGCCTGTTACCGCTAATGAGCTACCGTTCTGTTATCCGGTGCTCTTTATAAAGAAAACATACGGCGTACCAACTGAGAACGCGATGCTGCGACATGCTTTATATTGGCGCTCATTGAAAGCCGAAGGTGAACGGCCAGGTATACATTTGGCCATGTCTGATATATATGCACTGTATACCAGGTGCGATATGCAATAGCCACGTATGTGCATATGCGTATAAAGCATCTATCTAATTTTGTGCTTTTTTTTTTTAAATATAATCAGTCAATTCTCTACGAGAGGGATCCTGCTTGAATTTTGATATCCTATTGGGTCTCGATATGCGAAAATTTTTTTTATAAAGATGCTGTTATTTTTTTTTGTCAAAGGTACATCTTTCATGTACACTCGATGATATTGGTGTCTGAGTTTACCGACTGAGTTTGCTCCCGTTTAAATGACAGGAGTGGCACAGATAGAAAAATAGGTTTGTGGGCTCCAGGGCCAATATTGACGCCGAGTGTACACGTTTACGCGCGAGAAAGGCAACCATTTGTATTATACGTAGCCAGTTTTACTTGAGAACGAAAGAGCCTCGTCGAATGAAATCACGCGTGAGCCTTGTAAGGCTGTTCAGTCGGGAATTCTTTGAACTGAAATAAATGAAATTCCATCCTGGCATTCTTGAGCTGTGAAATTACGTCTACTCGGCAACAAGGTGGATCGAAGACGTAATCATTGCGCTCTTGCGTAAATCTCTTCTCGGTGCGTTATTTTAGACGAGTCAAAGAGGTTTCGCGAAATTCTCAGTTTGGCAAGGGGCGGCTATAGGCTTGTTACAGGGGGTGCGTAGCCCCTCGCTTGTTACCTGGCATTGCGCCATGGACTTTATTATTAACTGGTACGGTAAGAACGGTTTGTGCTCGCTGACTGCGGCTGGAGAGAAGCCGGCAGCTAATTAGATACGTGCGGGAGTACAGACATTGAAATTGCCTGCTAACGAGAATCTAATATTAGCCGTTCCGTTCTTTCGAGTTCCTCGTAAATTATGGTAATTGTGTTTGTATATTGGCGTTCAGGGAAATTATTTTCTTTCGCTTAGAATTTCGAGGTACGTTATAGACATGTGCACTGCCGTCGAAATGTTTACGAAAAAAGGTCTGCAACTGCACTCAATACTTTTTGCGTGAGACTTTTTCGGAGGCGTTCGATTAAATTATTTTCAGTATTTATCTATAGAAAAACTTATATTACCTTCCCCTTCGTCCACGTTGCGTTGTCAAAGACACTGAAAATATCGCGGTCCACTGTCGGCGATTTTGTGACTGCCTTCTGGAGAACCGGCTCTAATAAGGAGAAAAGGTGCGGTGGAAGGCCTTGAGTCACTTTTAAAGCAGAGTACCGGTCGGTAGCGATGACGTCCAAAACTAATGGGAAGCTCGCTGCGTCGGCAATTCAAACGCGGTTCAATGAAATTTTTGAAAAACAGATTCGCTGACTACTGTCGAAGATCGTTTGCACGGAGATGGCCTTTGGGACGGAATTTCTACTGAGATATAAATTTTACGCCGCGGAAATAGGAAGAGGAGACTTCAATCGGCTCAAATGCTGGATCGTTCGAGATTAAAAACGGACTTTATGGACCGACGCTTTACTTTCATCTTGCCCATTTTAAACCCTCGTCCGGAAACTATTCGACGGCAGAGTATCTGAGACTACAGTGCTGCCTGTTGAAACCAGGATTAATAAAAACACATTACACTTCGTTCTTTTCTTTCCTTATGGCTTTATCTCCAATGAGCGAACACGTGCCAGGTATAAATATGCTAAATCCGCGACAAAAAAACAGACCCAGCCATGAACTGGATAGTGTCGAGTACGTAATACTAATTCTCACTACCGCCATCTAGGTTCTCGTCCGTGCAACTAGTCAATGCTATATAGTCAAACTGTTGACCGGGCAGTGCTGTCGACAATCGCAGTAGACGCCGCCGTGGAATTTCAGGACGGAAAATTAACGAGGGGATAACGTCGACGACAGGCGAGGATGCTGCGAAAATGGCGAGAGCGCAGTTTCACCGAGAACAATTTTACGGGAACGCGTGGGGTAAGTCCCACTGGGAAAGTATAGAGATTTCTCGTGGATTTATGGCCGTTCAGCATTACCGTGCAGACTACTCATAGAGATCGAAAGGCATTATACTGATTTCTATCTACGATTATCGATTTCGTCCAATTCTCGGAATCTCAATCGTCATTTATTCTGACGCTCGTCGCCTCTTTAATACAGTCGACCAATATCGATCGCGATACGTTTCGTTGTGTTTCGTGACGCTGAGTATAATCGCACCCTGCGGAGGTCTGTGTTAATTAATCATTAATTAGTGTATTCGTTCAATCAGGAATACCACAGCATGTACTATTTTGTTGAATCAATCGGTGTAATCAATCTCGTTAATCCCATCGTACTTACAGTACAACATTGATCAAGCAAAGTGTGTTGCGAAATACAATAAAAATTAATTCCGTCAAAATTGCGTTTAATCCGGCTGATTTTTTTTTTTTTTCTTTAAAATTATCGCCATCAGTCATAATTCTACGCCACATGGAGGTAACCAACGACCAGTAATGTACGACTTGAGTGTTCATACTGCTTTTCAGGTTACTTATTACTCCCGCTCGACGGGAGTGTTTTTACATGGCCTCGTATCTCGTTCGTACCACAAGACTTTAGTTGGTTCGAATTGAGGGTCAATTGGTTACCATAGGGTGTGGGTCCAATGGGTGGCATGACTTCATTGAAAAGCTGGCTTATTTAGCAGCGTAGGGTAGCGATGTGCCACTGTAGTATAATGGCACTAATTGCGAGCCACTCGAGCCAAATGGAAAAAGGGAGACAAATTTCATTTCCGTAGACGTCGAGTGTTGCGTTTGCGCAAAAAAAACTTCCAACTCGATAGTGTCATCCGATTTGAGTTGTGAGTATAAATTAGGTTAGGTTATGTACGTAATCCGACATTGCTGATTGCCAGACCCTGTTTGCTTTCGTACGCTGTATAAAAATTAATATTTAAGAGGAGCTAGACAAATCTTTAAAAAAAATGAAGAGTTAAGGGTGGG